CATTCTCGACCTTGCTCCTGTCTATTTTTCACTTGCTATCAAACTTTTGTGTATCGTACCCTCGAAGTTCGTTTGAACCAGACGCCTCAACAACTGCTTCGTAAAATAATACTAATAATACAGTAGTGCATTAACATGTCCATCTTGCAGTGCCGGAGTATATACCAAAGGCCTCGCTGCGGGGCTCCACGCTGAACTCCCTGACTGTGGCATGGCACAGTCCGGGCCCTGCAGAGGCCCAATATGTGGCCCACTACCTGCTCTCTCTCACCGACCTGCGCACTGGGGCCGCCCAGCAGGTCCAGCAGCCGCTGGGCACCAAGGAGTTCAGGTTCAGCAACCTCAACCCCGGCACCCCGTACAACTTTGCGGTGAGTGGTACAACCCCGGCACGCCGTACAACTTTGCGGTGAGTGGTACAACCCCGGCACCCAGTACATCTTGTTATGCGCACTTGACGCAGTAGTTTTAGGTTATCTTCATAAACTCTGCCCTCAAGTGCACTGACGCTTTACAGTGTTATGAGGTGGTGTTATGAAGTTAGCCTCACAAGTTCTTGTGACGTCCTATCCTTATAACGAATCCTCCCATCCTAACCTCGCTCCTTCATGTACCATATCGATCCTCACTACAAGTCATACCTCTTTACTCCCCCTTTGCATACTTCCACATCCCACCTCCTACCTCCCTCAAAACATCCTCTCCGTATTCCATATCCTCTTGTGTGCCCCCCCGCCTCACACCAGCCCCCCCTCGTGCAGGTCTCGGCATGCATGGGCGTGTACGAAGAGCCACGTCGTGACTGCGGTCCCGCGTCGCCGGCGGTGGCGGGCAGCACGCTGTACGACCCGCCCGCCAGCGTCGAGGAGGTCGTCGTCACCTGCACACACAACGACTACGTTGCTGGAACTCGTGGAACATAGCACGGCAGGCAGCTGCAAACCGGACCCAGTGGAGGAGTGACGTCCAAGCCTTGTGCGCCTTATGGCGCGGAGAGAACTGAACTGAACTGAAATGACCAACCATTTCACAGAATTCCACCATGTTGCTAACCATGGAAGAGGAGGTACACCAAGACAAGTAGCTGCATCTTTTTTAAATGCCCAGTTTCTGGTTGGTTGGGTGAGGCTTGGAAGCACAACCCACAATTTGGTTATTTTGTTTGCAATGCAATTGTCTACTGCAATACATGGGGTGTCAAAGATACTCACTGAAGTTGGTTTTGAAAGAATTTTGATGAAAATTATGTTTTTCAACACATCTTGAAGGCTGCTGGTGACATATCTTGGGTATGATTGGCCATGTTTGTGGTCCAGAAATGCAAAAATTGGCAATGCATTCACTAAATTCTGCAACCTGGGACACAACCACATACTAAGCAAACAAAAGACAGTGTTGGTAACAACCTTTTTGTCCCTTAGCTAGGATCAGTAGGTACTGCTGATCCTAGAATTGCACCCTGCCAAACAGTGACTAGAGCTTTCATGCCATTCTTGGACTGCAAGTTTCTCTCTTGCTGCAATTTTTCTGAGTCTATGATTTTATCTAAGTGTTGATAGAATTGCATGATCAGGCCACAAGGTTCCAAATGTATTGAAAATTGGTTGCTTTTAAGCTGGAGAATTTGAGTAAAAAATAGAAAAATTTCATTCATGAATGGTAGGAGCTCATTTCAGAATATAGTCTGAAGTTACCTGAAATTGCATTTAGAAATGTTTGTTTCCCAGGTGATTTTGGAAAATTTCAGTTAAAAGGCCATTTTTCCTAATTTCAATTTTTATTAAATAACTAGGGAAAATTCCCCAGAAACATGAAATTGGTCAGATTTGTGGACATTTCTGTCTAATTCATGATATTTTCTGCCCAATTTTCCAGTTATGACTTTTTTTAGTTTTTTTGTTTTCCATAGTTTTTGGAGGTGCAAGATTCCTGCTAGACTAATTATGTCCTATCTTATTGTTGATAAAATTACACAACTGGGATGCAAGATTCCAAATTTTATTGAAAATTGGTCACTTTGGAGCCACAAATTTTATTCAAAATTCTGTGTACAAGCGGCACATGTACAAGCTGCATGCGGAGTTCATGCAAGTAAAGTAATTAAGTGTTCAAGCAGCATGCTGTGCCCATATGACTAGATGTGTACAAGTGACATGTGGATCAATACAAAATTATTATTGGTCAATTCATCTTTGTAAATGAATTGAAGAATCACAAATTATAGTAGGAAACAAACTAAAATTTTTGTTTGTTTACTTTCTAGGCTGTGAATTTCAAGTTTTGCCAGAAAAGGCTGGTAAAAAGTTATATTTCAGGGTTGGTTTATATTGAAGCATATTTTAATGAAATACCGTACCCTATTCAGATTTCTAAAAAATATGACATTAAAGTTTCTCAATTCTTTGTAATATGTAGGATTTTTCCTATTATGGGGTGGTGGTGGGTGCAGCTATTTTTAATTTTATGCAAATTCCACTTATAAAACTTGTATCAGGTAGTATTAAGAGTTGGCACTGATTCCTTGTTATTGAAGGAAATTATTAATATTTACATATAGCTGATAAGTTGAAATGAGATAAATTTGGTTATTAACTTCAACTATGAAATCAAAATTTATTTAACTCTTAGTCATAGTCTGGAACCTGGACCAAGGCTGCACAATAAAATATGTTTTGTCAGGCTGAGATTTTCACTTATTTTCAAGGTTCCATCAAGTTATATTAATCTTGAATTTGCTTCCAAGGGGTTGTAGTAGGTGTCATAATGAAAAATCAATCTATCCATGCAGTGTGGTTTGGCATCTGTCCCCCACATTCATCATAGCTTGTGCTAAGCCCATATCATTCACCATAGCTTGTGCTAAGCACATATCATTCACCATAGCTTGTGCTAAGCCTGTATCATTCACCATAGCTTGTGCTAAGCCCATATCATTCACCATAGCTTGTGCTAAGCCTGTATCATTCACCATAGCTTGTGCTAAGCCTGTATCATTCACCATAGCTTGTGCTAAGCCTGTATCATTCACCGTAGCTTGTGCTAAGCCTGTATCATTCACCATAGCTTGTGCTAAGCCCGTATCATTCACCATAGCTTGTGCTAAACCCGTATCATTCACCATAGCTTGTGCTAAGCCTGTATCATTCACCATAGCTTGTGCTAAACCCGTATCATTCACCATCGAGAAATTTGGGACTTCGATTTGGGAAATAAATCCCAGTAGACATAATTTATTTGAAGAAAAGAGCTTAAATTGAAAGATCTGTGAATTTAAAATTGCAGCAGAGATGTGCAGTGCTACAGCTGCTCCATCACAGAAAACAACATTACATCATTACTGTAAGCAGGACGATGATTTGTGTAAACATAGGGAACTTTTAGCAAGGTTAACTAGGCAAATCAAGCTTCTATGCCTAACTACAGATAATTGCTATGTGTTTTCTAGAATAATTAATTTGATATCTCATAAAAGAGATGTGTGTGATAGTTACTGCATATTGACCTCATAACAGAGAAGTTGAAAAATTTGACATTTGTTTTGCTGGCAGAGACCTCATAATAAAGAAGTTGTTAAAGCTCTTTTTCTACTGCCTCTTGCTATATTATTAGGATAGTTTGTGCAGGATGTCTGTAAAGAAATAACTGCTTGAGGCCTTTATTAACTCACTGTATTGCCACCATGTCATACAGTGACAGACTGGCCTACTTCTTATACATCCTCATAATTGTCATCATACAGCAATCAGGTAAGCTAAAAGGATTAATTGATCTTTTTATTGATTAACTGAAAAAATCTCTTACACTTGAAGTGACTACATAGCACATCATCATTCACAGTAGAAGAAGAACTAAAGTTTTATTAAGTTGAATTCAAGTACCAAACTTGAGAGATCAATTTTTGTCATTGTTACTTAATGCCCTAACAAATTTGTTACTGTAAAATGGGGTAACTTAGACCGGCGGGGTAACTTAGACCACTTTTCGTTTTTTTAACAAAAACCCCCACAACTCAAAAACTATTTGACGTAGAAAAATTTTGTCAATGNTACCCCATTTTACAGTATTTATGTAATATTGTACGTATTGAATTTTTATAGGCATACATTTTCTTCCACTTTCCTGTAAATTATCTCATCAATTGCATCTTCCTGAAGCCTTACTTGTTTAGTTACAATGTAACTAGAAGAAAGTCACATATATTATTCATAACAAATTGTGCAGCATGCCAGCACATCACAAGCATGACAGGCGGGAGTGACGGGCAGAACCTCACAGCAACGACAGTGCAGGCAGACGCTGGCAGCAACGTTTCCTTGCTCTGCCAGGGTGCTGGTGATGCTGTCTACTGGAAAAAAGGAAAACATAACATCAGGTGAGACTTGCCTTCTTTATTTGAACCCTGCCTTCTTATGAGCCTTGCTGAACCCTGCCCTTCTTATGAGCCTTGCTGAACCCTGCCCTTCTTATGAGCCTTGCTGAACCCTGCCTCTCAAGTGGGACTCGCCCTCTGGGTCAGCTTACCTTTATATTGTACAAATTATTCAAGTCGGGTAAACTGTGTTATAGTAAATATGGTGCATAAATAATTTAAGTAAATAATTTCATTCAAACGCTGCAATGAATGAATGAATTTCTCCCATTTGTATTTATAAATTTGAATCAATTTTCATCATTTCCTTTAAATAGGAATACACTGGTGATTTGTTGGTCATTACAATCCCGTAGAATGGTTGCTGGCCACTCATGTTCCCGCCATTACAATCTTTTTTTCCACAGTTCTGAGGACACTCGGCGGATCGTGTCAGTGGAAGCAGTGGGATCCGCTGTGCAGAATGCAGTGGATGCCACTGAGAGCACAGAGGCTGTGCCAGACACAGTGGCACCAGCTGAGCTACGCACCACTCTGCGTATCACAAATGTGTCCCTGCGAGACGCAGGACACTACCACTGCGTCTACGTGGTGGACGTTGACGGGGAGACTGCTGCCGCTGAGAAGGCGCTGCAGCTCAGTGTTGTCTGTTAGTGTAACTTTTTGTTATATTGAACAACAAAATCTTTGATGCATCGAGTATATGTAATCTATCATCAGTCATAGAGTATTGGTAGCCCTATCTTCACAAATAAAATATTTGGGACCATGTCTCCATTCATGGAGTACATTTATCTCAACTACATGTGACGAGATATTAGAGATGTCAAATATTCTTGACATCAGTTTGTGTTACTCAGCATGATGCATTACTTACTCGTTGGAATTTAACAATTTCTTGCTATATTAATGCATTCACCATTACATTACAATGAAAGATATAACATGTATGAGGCGTTATGCATGTTCAAAATGAGGCGTTATGCAAATGCGTCCCATAATGCGCGCCACATTAATGCCACACTGTCCGCCACAGCGGCGCCGATGCTGCGGCTGGCGAGCAACAGCAGCTCTGCGGTGGCGGGCGCCGCCGCAGAGCTGTCGTGCACCTTCGAGGCCAGCCCGCCACCCACCGTCCTGTGGACCCGCCACAACGCCACCCTCCTCCCCGACCACAGGTGACGTGGCGTTATGTGGTGCACGTCACTTTATGCTGGTGACGTGATGTGGTACACGTCACTTGATGCTGGTGATGTGATGTGGCACACGTCACTTGATGCTGCTGGTGATGTGATGTGGTGCACGTCGCTTGATGTTGGTGACGTGATGTGGCACACGTCACTTGATGCTGGTGATGTGATGTGGTGCACGTCACTTGATGCTGCTGGTGATGTGATGTGGTGCACGTCGCTTGATGCTGGTGATGTGATGTGGTGCACGTCACTTGATGCTGCTGGTGATGTGATGTGGTGCACGTCGCTTGATGCTGCTGGTGATGTGATGTGGTGCACGTCGCTTGATGCTGGTGACGTGATGTGGTACACGTCGCTTGATGCTGGTGATGTGATGTGGTGCACGTCACTTGATGCTGCTGGTGACGCGATGGTGCTCTTTTGTTACAGTAGACAGTATCATATTATTTTCCTCACAAAGGAATCATATGTTGTTATCAACAAGATTGAACATATATGAACATATATATGTTATGAAAATATGAAACATATAAGTTTCATATGTTGTTTTAAATCGGCAGACGTGATCATTTCCATACACTTTACTATCACTCCAAGTTGATATTGGCTTCTGTACATTGTTATATTCTCGTGTTTGTTGATTAGTGTGCAAATATGTTCAACAATATCTCGATATTATGTTCACTAATATCTTGCTTGACATAATGTTCTATAAAATCACGATGTTATATTATCATAATGCAACAACAGCACAATATTCTGCCCTCAACACAGTGTACAATAGCATGACTGATGTGCAGGCTGAGCGTGACGTCCAGCAGCGAAGGTTTCCTGTTCCTGTCCAAGCTGTCACTGCTCAATGCCAGCACCGCGGACAGCGGCACCTACGAGTGCACCGCCACCAGCCCTGCTGGCACTGCTACTGGCACCTCCCTGCTGCTGGTACACGGTACGGCGTCCTAGTGCTAGCTACTCCAACTAAACGCCTTAGCGTTATGCCACTAATATAACTCTCATGTATTACCACCTCGTATCAAGATAAGTTCTCTAGACAGATGGTGTCTTATACTTATTCCGCGCCCACTTAGTCAAAGAATCCCTGTCCTCATGTTCAGGGAGAAACACATGCAAAGTCTGGAGACGCACAAACGTGCCTCCGGACAAAAGCAAATTAACTGCAATCTTCCGATTACCTTATAGTCTTGTCTTCAAACATTCATTCATTTAAGTTTCGTTTAAATAAGCAAAGTTTGGAATTGTGAGCAGGTTGGCCAAACTTTTAAACCGGTCATCCACGCAAACACATTGTTGTTTTGAAAAAAGAGAACCATAAAAATTTTGAACCATCTCAGAGTGCCCAAAATATTCAACTACCATGTTGTTAGCTACAATGAATCGCACGATTCGTATTTTATTCAATTAGAGATCAACACATATACGTATACAGTATATAAAAAATCCTCTCCATTCGTGAAGAACAACTCTCAATATTCACTCCTTTTTCAGCCTCTACACGTTCAAGTAATACCGATTAATAGGGTGCTGCATGAGAGCTATAAAATTCTTCCAAATAATTCGTTACAACATTTTGTACCAAAAGTGTGTCATCGGTTATATAGGTTCAGTATTCAGTAATATACTTTGAGGGTGGAGTAGAAGCGCCTGCCAGTAGATGGCGCTAGAGTAGTTTCATGACGCTTTGTGTTCGTCTATCAATTCAATCGTAAACATTGCCTGCTTCCGACGCCATTCTTTATTGTTTTTAGTGCCAAATATAGAATTGCTCGTACGAAAAAATTGTTAGCTGATTTAATTTAAATGACTCTTAGCAGCGCTAGATCCATGTGTCGTTAACATTTTCATGATTTCTCTAATGCGAGATTTTCGACCAGCTGAAGTAGAATATAAATGAAGCTAAGAAGCATCAATTTCTGTTTATCGCCAGTTATCGCTTGCAAAACGGATGCCCATATGACAGTGATATGTAATACTATCCGTGTCTGACCCAATGCCAATGGCCAATCCCCAAGCCTAAGTGTCTGACAGTCTGACTCTGACCCAAGCACAAATGCCCGAGTTAGAATGTTGAATACTGTCAAACTGTAGACTAGGTGTGTGGCTCAAACTCTGTCTCTAATTCTCTATTAATAGGAAATTTGTCATATTGCAAACTGTAGTAAAACTGTGAACATAGCTAGCTAACTAAGCTAAGTTCTTCTACATCCATGGAAATGGTAGAAATGTCAAATAAAATCAGGTATCATGTATCAAGGTGTAGTAGTTTCACTTTTGCATCATTTCAATAGGTACATTATCAAAAATTCAAATTGTCAACAAGTTTGATAAGCTAATTAGTTTGCATTTGATCATAGGCCATAGGGTAAACACAGTATATTCTGACACGTTAAGGACATAGCAAAAAATGATTGGCTATAAAAAAATCACCGTATGCACAACTCGAGTTCTGTTTGCTTTGCATCACTCTTAAAACACCGCACTACGCACCGGCAACAATGAAACGTCACAAAATGGTGCCATATTCATGTAAAAGCCTTTAGTCTAGAATGCAAACCTACCAAATGTCCAAATCCATATATTCTGATGCTGTGTATGACTAAATTTGGCATTTTGTGAGACTAATTCCGGCCGCGCTTCAAACTCTACTAATTTGTAATGCCAACACTTTTGTGTTTGAATTCCGATCGCTGTGTGAGACTGTGAGCTGTATTGGAATACGACACAGCTTGGAATTAGAACTATTGAATATTGAACACTACTTAATTAGGCTTTTAATTAAGAGCTATTAAGCTTTTAATTAAGAAAATTTTCATTTTTGCACACAGCTTGGACCTTGAAATGAGCTGTGTGTGTCTAATTCCAAGTTGTGTCGGAATTAGTTTTTATGTGTCTAAAACCGTCTCTTAACTTAATCATCTATTAATTTATTTACCACTTGAAAGTTGAAATCAGCAAATACAATTATACTTGAAAGTTGAAGGATTCCTAATATATTCACAGACTTATTTAAAAGTATCAAACCATAAAATTCTTTCTACACGAACAGTTTATCACTATTTGGTAGAGCAATGTCAACTATCAACTTTGACACATTTTTTTTTGATGTTCTTACTGGGTGACGCGCACTGTCTCTCTTTGGATCTCAAAATTTTCCAGCCAGATGGCCCAGACCTAGTGTTTTGGCAATAGTATGGCGCAAGGTGCGCAATAGTATGACGTCACTATTTCAACTGTCAACGAATGCGTGGAACTAAGACAAAGCTTAATATAAAGGAAAAAGTTGAGAAGTGTCGAAATTACCCACAATGTCGGAATATACCGCGTTTACCCTAACAGGTTAAATTAATAGAACAATTATTTTACATGAATATCTTGAATTGTATCCTTAATTTATAACTTATAAGAACTGCTACAGGCATTGAAATTTGAATATATCTACTGTTCAACTTTCAAGCTACAAATACTTCTATGGATATTATCTGCCTTTCAAACTCAGCCTGATGCAAACCTATAGATAATTTAAAAGAACATAGTATTTTTAGATTTAAGATAATTACATAGCACACTAGCACCACCCACCCAGGGTGCAGAGTTTGCAAGCTGCATTGCCAAGATATGGATTTTTAACCCAAAAATATGCCAGGCATTTTCAAGATGCGTTGCTGGGTAATTTTTAATAAGAAAATGCTGATAACAATTTTGATGGTATATCCCTTACTCTCCAAGTCTCCATGCACTGCAACACTTACCACTCATCACAACTGATTTCCAGACAAGCTTCACTGCATCCTGACAGTGACAGGATTCAAATTTTCCAACTTGTTTCTGAAATTTTTTGGCTCTGGTGTGACAAATTTTTAATACCTTTGGAAACTCAAGGCCTGATCGAGTGCTTTTGTTAACAAGTAGATAGATGGTAAGTCTGTCAATTTGTATTGCTGCCACCATGACTAAGGTGGCCGCCCACCACCTTAGCAATGCCAAAGATTTGCAAATATGTAGAACACAATATTTTCAATTCAAATGTGTCAGCAAGATCTTCTGAAGACATAAATTTGGCTGCTGATGCATTGCCAAAGATCTTCAGATATTCACCAAGACACCAACTCCCTGCATCTGGGGACTTGTGTCCTGTGAGGTATAGCGATAAACCAGAAATTTTTTGTAATCAGTCCATTTTTAATTTCCTCACTTGCTCAAAATATAAACAAATAGCTTATGTATGATAATGCTGGAGTGGTATCTATGATACTTCACTGGTCTACTGATAGGACTTGAAATTAAACTTGAGGCAGAGTTTAAAAAACTCTCTGATTTGCCACTATGTTAAATGCAAAGGCTGAGGGCCAGGGTGCAGGAAGTGGGTGAATATTGCAAGATCTTTGGCAACGCATCAGCAGCAAAATTTACGCTTTCAGAAGATCTTGCCAACACATTTGGATTGAAATTACTGCATTTTAGACATTTGCCAGTCTTCGGCAAACTATTGAGAAAATAGTTGAAAAATCTGAAAGACCGCAAGTGCACACAATAACTTTTCCGGTATGTTGGATGGATCAGGATGCAAGCGTGGAAAACTTCTCCCTTTAGGGCTATGACTAGAGCTTTCCCATCATTTCCGGTACCGCGAGATTTCCGCTAGATGAATTACCAATACCAATAATTCTAAAAATTTCTAAATGTCTTCTAAATGACCATGTACCTATGTAAATGAGGAGCGTGCTCCAATATGAATGGACTGGCAGCAGCGGCAGCATGCTTGTCCTGTGTGGGACAGCCTGGAAGAGTGAATTACGGTGCTCTAGCACCCAAATAACTGCATTTCCTTAACAAATAAAAAAAAATGCAGCACGCAGGTAGAGCATGCAGCCTCGCGCTGGGACTGCACGGCGTACGAGGCGCATCCTCCGGGTGGCGGATGGAGGGAACACCGTAAGGTGACGTGGACCAACGCAGTCTAAGG